TCAAAAATTGGTTCAGTAAGCTGCCGGAGGTTCTGACTCAGTGCTGTCTTATACCTTCGAAATGAATCAACAGGTTTTGAAAGGATTGATTTTTCCGTTCTCGGAAGTATGACATAGATTTGAGCTTGTGAGCTTCATTATTCATTGCTGCATCAAACGCCGGAAGTTTAATTCGCCTTTTCGCCGGAAGTTTTTAATTTGCTTTATAAAAACAACCATACCAAGAATCACCCGGACTATCTACACAAGCGTACTATGGCAGTAATCTTAGTGGGATGCTTCCACGCTTTAGCGATATATCTGTAAATCAGGACCTTCGATCCTGGTCTGCATAACTCCAATTAGTATAATTGCTTTTTCCATGCATGCGTCCCCTTTCGAAGGTCGCTCAAGTGGTCGCTTAATTTTTGCATATGCAAATGCATGGTAGCCAGTGGTTGTGGAAGAGGGAGCAACCTGATCTGTCCATCAGATTTTACTTTCTCATGAGTCACGGTAATTATATTTACAAACACGAATTCCCAAAACGAAACAAACCTGACAGATTCTGAGAATAACATAATAAGCAAGATTTCTCTGAGGTATTGCAAACGGCGCCAGCAATGTTGCTGCAGCTGTCAAAATACCGCATACAAAAAATATCAGATGAGCCCCATAATACTGCAAAACACCAAGTTTTTTCTGAAGACCGAAACAAAAACTGCTGGACCTTGACTTTTTTGTTTTTCGAAGGCGAGAGACACAATCGAGTTTAAATTGAATTGGGAAGCTGTAATTTTAATCAGAAATTGAGAAGCCATTAACGAAGCCTATAAATAATATTAGCAAGAGTGCTGTTTGAAAAGTTATGTAAAGCAATGGGGATGAGTGCGGCTAAAAATACTGAAGGATGGAGAAGTCGCTCGCTGCATCGGTAGAAATGCAATGAGAAAGCCAACAGCTAACAGAGTATTCAAGCAAGAGGAAAACTATAAATTTTCAAATATCGCTAATTTTTGAAAAAAAGGTACTATCCTGTTAAAAAGTGACATAAAAATTTTTTGTAATATGGCAGCTGTTTAATTCAGAATGACATAAGTGAGAACCTGTATGGCCTGGGTGACTGGAATGACAGCGATGAGAGCGCCAACTGCCACCGAACTGTATAGAATTGTTCGCTCATGTTTCATATACCCATGATGACTTACTGCTTCCAACTCTGTCTGTTTTTTAAAATATAATTTCGGCAATTAACAATTTTAACAGTATGTAGTTACTGTTGGACTGTGCTACCCATGGAATACTTCCCAGTACCTCCACCACTCCAAAAAGAACAAATAAATACCTACCGCTGCGGAAAACCAGCGAAAAGCCACCCAAGAAGAAGCCACCACAAAAGGTATGCATAGACTAGGAGAGGCAGAAAAGAAAACGAAATATGCATAATATTTGTTTTAAGGTGCCCTAGGCTGATACAAAAGTGTTTGCAACAGCCGGTATTGCAGTGCCTGGGCACGTTGTGGTCGAATGTGAAGACGAGTAGTTCGATTCTCTTCTGGTCCATACACAATTACGAAAAAGGATTCCATCTACATAGGGATGTTTTTGTGGGATTTCGAATTTTAACAATAAATCTATGCTACTTACGAAGCATCACTGAAAGTCATTATGGGCCGTTAAAAAGAAAAATCAAACTATGAGGAGAGTGTGCGACTAGAAGCTGGGACAAAACGAAGCGGAACAAACGCAGCAAAATACAGTGAAAATCGAAGCAAAATTGCGAGCTAAATTTATTCAGGTCATTATGAAATGGACGTTGTGTTGCTAAATAAACGAGTTTCTGTCCACTGTTTCACTAACAGCTAATATACAACAGTTCGACGGAGAGTAAATTTTGAACGCAGATCGAAAAATATTTTTTTTAGCCCTTTCTGTCAATAATCTCTGTGAAAACAAAGGCTGGAACGCACCAGGCGAGCCGGTGCGATCATGCGTTTTTGCATCAAAACTA